GAGCAGGAAGTGAGGGATACAACGTTTACCAGGGTGGCAGTCGGGGTAACTAGAAACAATGGACACAAGTTAAAATAGAGCAAATTCAGGCTGGACATCAGGAAAAAGTTCTTTATAGTGAGGGTTGCCAAAATATGGAATAGGCTTCCAAGGGAGGTGGTGTTGTCCCCTTCCTTGGAAATATTCAAAAGGAGACTGGACAGACACCTGGCGCTCTTCCCTGCCCAGGGCAGGGGGTCAGACTTGATGATCTAATAGGTTCCTTCTGACCCTAATAACTATGAAACTATGAATCCCATTTGAAATTTGAGTTTATCTTGTGAATCAAGTATAGGTGTTTGTTCACCTACCAATGTTAATACTGAGCGACACCTTGTAGCACACCTAAGGATCTCATAGCACCTGAGGGTGCTGCAGCACCCTGGTTGAGAATTACTTGCCTAATGTATGTTCACTTCTTACCCTGAGAAGGATCCAAGATTTGATGTCCTTTCAGCATCAGTAATCACTAAGTCAGTTGCATTCACTAATTATACCCTTCCACCGAGATCTGTTCGAGCACATCTTTCACCTAAATCCAGGAGTCCTCAGCTTCAAAAAGACTATTTTGAAGAGAAATTCAGCAACTGAGAGGTCTGAAAATAAACCTGGAAGAAGCTCTTTTCTCACAGAATAGGTAGAGACAAAATAATCTCCCACTGTCAACCAATGACATAGAGAAACCACAACTGAGATTGATGGGGCAGTTCAGAATCTAGGGCTCTTCCTTTAGCTTCCATTAAAACCATCAGTAAGAGTGTTACAGTGACAATGGTTCTGGGTTCATTGGGAATAGGATAAATTCAGCTCTCGACAATCTCTATGAAGAATAGCAGCCTTGTCACATTGTCTTGACTAAGGGTCAGCAACCTATAGCCAGCCTGGGCCAGACAGAGGGGACAAACAGTGGCAGTGGCCGCTGAGTCCCAGCACTGGCCTTCCTCAGACTCAAGCTGGGTCCTTCTGGGCCACTGCCAGAAAATACTACTGACTGCTGGTTTTGATCCAATTAGAACAGGCAATTTCTTTACACCTTCCCTCAATATCAGGGGTGGGCAGCTTAATGAGTTTTGGTGAGCTGTCGAGGGCTGCAACAATAGCCCTGCCCTTTGGCAGGTGCCCCACCCCCTGGGTGCCATCTTGGGACCAGAAGTCCCGCCCCCTAACTCTTGACCTCTGCCACTGGAAGTCCCTCCCCTTGTCCCTGGAAGGGCTCAGGGGGAGAGTAGCCACCTTGGAACCAGAAGAAAAACAAATCATATACTAAGAGTCAAACATCTACTATAAACGTATTTTAATTACATTTCAAAAAATATTTTTGTCCCAATTTATGTGTTTGCATAGTTTATGTAGAGGTGATTCCATAATATGCCAAAAATAGTCTTACTTTTGTATATTGTGTGGGTTGTGGTATGTGGGGGAGTATGTGGGATGCAGTTCCAGGGGGTGTGTGTGTGTATATGGTGGGGTATGTGTGTGGGTGGGGGTGTGGCAGGGTGTGTGTGAGAGATGCATGCGTGCATATTATATAATAGGAGGCTTGTGGGTATGGTGTAGACAGGGTGTGGGTGTGTATAGGGTTTGTGGGGTGTGATGGAGGATGGGGCCATGTGGGGACCCCCCACCACCACGGCACATGTGGGGCCCCCCCCCCACCACGGCACACACCCCCTGTCGCTGGCAGTGGGTCCTCAGTGTGCTCATGGCCCATACAGGTGCAGCCACTCAGCAGTGCACAGCTCCAGCCCATTCCAAGAACTGCACGTGGTGGCAAGAAGTGGAGGCAGGGCAGCTCATGTGCAGTTCCTGGCACCCGTGCACCACTGGGGTAAAGCTCTGCGCAATGGAGCCAGCTGCCTTCCCCACTCCCTGCCATGATGTGCAGATCATAGGACTCCGCGAGAAAGCAGGGGATGTGGCTCCCTTTCGGCAGAGTCCTGTGAACTGCATGTGGCAGCAAGAGGCAGAGAAGGCAGCCAGCTCCATCATGTGGGGCTTCCCCCAGCTGGTGCACAAGTCCCTGGAGCTGGACGCGAGCCCCACGCAATAGAGGCGGGTAGGCCTGGCTCCATTCCTTGCCGCCACGTGAAGCTCCTAGAAGTTGCCAGAACCATGTGCTGCTGGGCAGCTACACCTGCGCACACCATGAGCACCCTGAGGTCCCACCACCTGCTGCTGCCGCCAGCAGCTGCTTTGAGCCATGGGAGGGGGGGGAAGCGGGGGGTGTGGGGGAATCCCCACACCCCTTACCCCACAAACCCCACACACCCATGCCCTGCCCACCCAAGCTTCACACTCCTGCAGCCCCACTGGGCACAGGCCCTGGGCTCTATTCCCACCCAGCTGCAGCTTCCCTGCCTGGTGCCCAGATCAAGTGCTGCAGCAGCAGGAACAAAGGAGGAGCCACTGGAAGCCAGGGAAACAGAGCAAGTCCCCAGCAGCTGCAGCAGGGTAATGGCCCCACCCAGAAGCCTGAGACCAGGCTGGGGCCCTCCTGTGTAGGAAGGTGGGAGTGAAGTGTCCTGGCTGGGTGTAGTAAAATTAACTGGGCTCCTGTGGGCTGGACCCAGCCCTCTGGACTATTTTGCCCACCCCTACTCACCCCCATTCTCATTAAAAACTAGGGGACTGTAGTGTCAACACCTACACAGTCAAATGGGTCACTAACTAGCTGGAGGGCCGCACCCAGAGAGTGATGGTGGACGGGTCATTTTCAACCTGGAGGGATGGGGGCAGTGGGGTTCCGCAGGGCTCGGTCCTCAGGCGCGCACTGTTCAACATCTTCATTAGCGACTTGGATGAGGGGGTAAAAAGCACCCTGTTCAAATTTGCAGACAACACTAAGATGTGGGGGGAAGTGGGCACGCCAGAAAGGAGGAATAGGCTGCAATCGGACCTAGACAGTTACAGAGGTGGGCAGATGAGAACAGGATGGGTTTCAACACTGACAAGTGCAAGGTGCTGCACCTGGAGGGGAAGAACCAGCAGCATAGCTACAGGCTGGGGAACTCCCTTCTTGTCAGTGCAGAGGCAGAAAAGGATCTTGGAGTCATTATTGATGCCAAAATGAACATGGGCCAACAGTGTGGGGACGCAGTCAGGAAGGCCAACTGCACCTTGTCATGCATCCACAGATGCATCACAAGCAGGTCCGAGGAGGTGATCCTCCCCCTCTATGCGACACTGATCAGGATGCAGTTGGAGTACTGCATCCAGTTCTGGGCGCCGCACTTCAGGAGGGATGTGGACAACATGGAGAGGGTCCAGAGGAGGGCCACTTGCACAATCGGGGGCAGCAAGGCAGGCCCTACAAGGAGAGGCTAAGGGACCTGAACCTGTTCAGCCTCCACAAGAGAAGGCTGAGGGGGGATCTAGTGGCCGTTTACAAACTAGTCAGAGGGGATCAGCAGGCACTGGGGGAGTTCCTGTTCCCCCGAGCACTACCAGGAGTGACAAGAAATAACGGTCACAAGCTGGCAGAGGGTAGATTTAGACTAGATATCAGGAGGTGCTACTTCACTGTCAGGGCAGCTAGGATCTGGAACCAACTTCCAAGAGAAGTGGTGCTGGCTCCTACCCTGGGGGTCTTTAAAAGGAGGCTAGATGAACACCTTGCTGGGGTTGTTTGACCCCAGTACTCTTTCCTGCCATGGCAGGGGGGGCGGACTTGATGATCTACTCAGGTCCCCTCTGACCCTACAAACTATGAAGCTATAAAAGTTATAAACAGCAGCTTAATTTTTATGTTTCCAGACTAATCATGAGTAAAATGTTGTTTTGGGTCTGTTCTAAAAAAGAGCTGTTAAGAAGAGTACTTAAAGTCAGAGAAGACAGGTGAAAAAAGGCCATAGATGCCAGCAAGTATTACAGATAGCTCAACCCTGCCCTAAAAATTCACAATACCCTCCAGAATCAGGCTGTCCAACTGGTGGGCTGCAGGCTGCATGTGTCCCTCTGCCCATGCCAAGGGGTTACATTTTAGCCCAGACTCCTGGCCTGGGCATTGCTCCCCACCATTGTCCTGGTGGCTGCTGCTGCTCTGCTCTCTGGGCTCCCGCTCCCTCCTCCAGGCTCTGCTGCCTGTCCCCATCCCTGGGTGTGTGTGTGGGGTAGAGGGTAGCATGGGGTTCAGGGACGTCATGGCCAAGAAGCTCAGGGGGACCCAGGGCCTCACTGCAGTACAAGTGGGGGAAGTCCCATCACACAGTACAGAACAGGAATGTTGATGCAGTGCAGGAGAAGGGGTGAAGCAGGGAAGGGTACGCTCAATGCAGTCCATGCAACATGCAGCCTGAGGGGCGTGCAGCTCATGCAGCTTGTGGCAGGGGGCTTCTGGCTCGTCTTTCAGAAATTGGATGGGCTGCTCTAGGATAACATCCAAACTAAAACAGCCTGTAGAGGATCCCCACTTCAAATCACATTTCTAAGTTTATGAGAAATTCTCCACAAAGATACCATATTTTAAGAGGCAACCTACCCCTCCCCTTTGAAACAGTGTAATGTTTTTTACCCACCTGTGGATAAAGTTCTTCTTTTCCAAATATTCCATGGCAGACGAGATCTGGGTGGCCATGTACAGCAGCACAACAGCGCTCACCTCCTCCCGGTTGCATTCCCGTAGGTAGTCCAGCAGGTTCCCATATGGCATGTATTCTGTTACAATGTAAAAGGGTGGCTCCAGCGTACATACACCTGGCAGCGGGGAACAGAGAACTAACATTTACACTCACCTCAGTCCTAGTTTATCAAATATCTTTGTAGGATCGTATTTCCATTTATTTTTGATTTTCTATAACAGCAGCATACTCCAATCAGCAGGATGAATTAAGAAGTTATAATTATTTCTTTTCCACGGCAGGGTTGGGTAGAGATTCATCATTTCATAATGGAGCACACAGCAGTTGAAATTATTGGAGTTCTTCACATTCCCAATACTTTTTCCTTTCATCCTACTCTTAGCTTTATTTTTTAAAAAACAGCAAGAGTCCAAGTGCAACAGCAGATGGGAATATACACTGATGAAGATTTGGAATCTAATGTTTAGGAAGAACATTTGAAACTGGAAAATTAACAGCTATGCAGACTATGCAGCAATAGTCATCTTACTATGCACATACCAGCGAGATCAGCTGGGCACTGCCAAGCCACAAAGCCTGCAGATTTCTTCTATCCGCATGTTGATTGAACATGACCTTGACTTCATTCCCTACTAGGGCAGTACAAAGCTTCGGTAGCCGATACGATTCAGAGGAGATTCGGTTCGATTTGGGGGCCAAATCTCCAAATCCAAATTGAATCGTGATACTCATTAAAAGGTCTGAATCGATTCAAAAGCCTCCAAATTGATTCCGAGATTTGGGCAGTCCACACTTGCTGCCGCAGGGAGCTCAACCCAGGCTCCATGCCGGTAAGTAGGGGACAGCATCCTAAAAAAAAAAAAAAAAGAAAAAGAAAAAAAAAAGCCCCGCACTCACCAGATGCAGTAGTGGCAATTGGGGCCTCTGTGGGCTTGTGGCAGAGACTCCCCTGTGCAGCGTGGGGCAGCAGGGATCGGCCCCTCCTGCCTGGCACTCGCGCAGCAGCTGTTGCCTTGTAAGGGTGCAGTGTGGCTCAGCAGGGCAACCGCTGGGTTCCACACACTGTTTGGGAACTGGGGCCACTCGGGCTGAGTGTTGCTGGGCTTTGGGCGACTGCTGGAGCCACCCCAGCTCTGGGACAGCGTGCAGCTGCCTTGCAATGCAACAGCTGCTGTGCAAGTGCCAGGTGAGGGGGGCCAATCCCCACTGTCCTGCGCTGCACAGGGGGGGCTCTGTCACAAACCCCCAATCACCGCTGCTGCAGCTGGTAAGTGTGGGACTTTTTTAAGCGCCAGGACTCTGGGGCTGGGCAGGGCAGCCATGGAGGGGCTGGGGGAGTAGGATCCCTCTCACCACCATCACTGACACTGCCACTGCCTATTTGATTCAGTTTTGATTCAGAGGAGATTTGGCCCAATTCGGCAGTCAAATCTCTGAATCCAAATCAAATCAGGACACTGATTTGAATCACCAAATCGAATCACTGTCCCTTCAAATTGGCCAAATTGAATACCTGCTGCTTTGCACAGGCCTATTCCCCACCACTAGTGAGATGTTTTGCAATATGATTACTGGTCTTTTCCCATAGGAGTAGAGATTTGGTTACTTTTATTGTTTTCTTAGCTGTAGATACTACTCAGTGCGAACATTTCAATAAAGATCTTTCTGTCCATAGGAACAACTAGGCAAGCCTGTGAATGACTTTTGTATGAATGAACTACCTACTATCAGTTTACCTATTATAACATGGACTTCAGTAAAGACCATAATTTTACTGAACACTGAGAATCCCGAGTTGTGTATAATACATGGCCACGTCTCAAAAGTCAAACCATATTCATGGGATAGAAGACTGCAGGGAAGGAAAGTTGACACACTGCCAAAGATCTTGCATATCTAAAGAACTTGGACTTCAGTCATGTGCTCCAGGTGTATACCCAACAAATCTGGGATTCCTTAAATCTAGGAAGGCCGAAATATGGCCCTTAGGTCATATATACTTCAGAGCTCCAAGAATGTAGTCCACAACCACTGTCCACAGAGTGATAAGTCCCAACATGCAACGCTTGAACTTGGTCTGAGCAACCAAACCATATTACCTGCTGGCCTGTGAGCAGCCGCCAATGCAATAAAAAGCGCTGCTCACTCTGAAGAGAGTGGCTACCAGGAATTTGATGAAAGCCCGCTGTAAACCTTGGTTCTAGGCACACTATCAAGATGGCTTTCCATAGGGCAAAGTTTGAATGCTACTGCCGTAAGGGTGTCTTGGAGTATACTATTACTAGCTCAAATCCAGAGCACATGCCTTTAAGTGAATATACTGTTTAAACTAAACTAATGTACAGCTGATCTGAAACAGGTCAGTCATAAAAGCTGCTTTTTAAAGATTTTGGCTGCTTACAGATTAAAAAAAAAAAAAAAAAAGCTTTAAACTCTGTGTGCCCCCTGCCAAGTCTAGTGCATGCCCAGAAGATGTATCGCTTTAGTTGGACCTGGCTCGCCCAACATCTGTGTAGCAGTCACTTTAGTTGAACTTTTTTGACACTTATCTTTGGCTAATTAAAGCAGCTTTAGATAAAAAAGTACCAAAAAGTCCCACTGAAGTGCCTGATCTATACAGACACTGTGGAGTCAGGTCGAACTAACACACTGCTTCTTCCGGTAAAGTGCGTTTTGTTTTTTTCCATGTCTGTCAGTGCCCTTTGTTTCAAGTAGAATGAGTAAGCATAAAGAGAGACCAAACTTAATTCACCTAATAACTGCACCAGATTTGGATGCTTGATTTCCTTCATCACAGCAGCTTCTTTCAGGAACTCTTCCACTTCCATGGTATCTTCCTAAAAAGATGGGACAGAACAAAGACAACCCACTCTTAATGACTAAGGCTCATTTAGCATTGTAAAGCTTCAACAGAGAAAAAAAACATTATTCTTTCACCTGTTCATATCCATTTTTCCCCACTCTGTACCAAGATGATACAACAAGGAAAGGTGCTTCTACCTAGGCTTAGGGCAGAACAAAAAAAAATAAAAACAAAAAAACCCTCTTCTCTCTAAAACACCTGACTGCATGCTTAAAACATGATTAAACAACAGTACCAGACTAGCAGCTGGTCTGCAATAGCACATGGGGTTGCCATACTTAGTCTGTGATCTCACATTCCTTAGCTTAACAACTCTACAAGGAAAGGAGGTCATGCTTCTGGAGGGAAAGAATACCAGAGGTCAATGATTAATAACTCCTCTGGTCAATTAAGATGTAATATTGACTGATTATACAGAGAATTCTGAGGAAAACCACCAGAGAAATAACTATAATACTAGAAGTTAAATGAAGGGCTTTCTGGAGGAAGGGGCAGGGTGAAGGATCATTTGATGTCCAAGGAGTCCCCAGTCCTCTGTTCTTTTAGGTGGCAATTTCTAAAGCACTGGGTTAGATACTCACTTCCCAGAAAGGACACGTTCTTGGCCAAGAATCCTAACAGCTTAAACCACAAAGAGCTCAAAGTTTGTTCCTGTGGAACACTTTTTCCAGTAGGCTATATGAACAAATGGATTTTGTTATCTTGAGGCCAACTGCCTCCTTTTAAACCATTATGGTTTTGCATAATCAGTCCAAGGACTGGGGTTTTCCATTCAGTTTCCAGTGTTTGGCATTATGGTGTATCAAGCATTCCGAAATTAAGTCACAAACAAATTGCAATGTGCTCTAAACACAAATGGCTAGTAAAATATTGAGCATGCAGCAGTCTGAAAACCAACCTTTAGTGTTTTCACAGCAACCGTGAGACTGTATTTCTTCCAGACACCAACATACACTTCACCATACTGCCCTCCTCCAAGCTTGTGCTTCATGGTGATATCCGTTCTTTCCATCTCCCACTTGTCATGGATGGGAGACACTCCATAAACAGTGGGCTTATTGCACTTGGGTGCTGGGTAATGCAAGGTTGTCACTAATCCATCCGCCACCGTTGAATGATGGTGAACTAGCTCTGCTAGTGTATTGAAGCGACTTTCTGCTGTCACATACACCTGGCAAAAAAGGACCAAGAATCTGTTTAACTGCATGTAATGACAATAAATAAATAAATAAGTAGACGTGTTGGTGGTGCTGAAAGATAGGATAGTAAAAACATTCAATTAAGCGAGGGGAATTTAGAGTTAAAATTGTTCTCTGGGAACAAAACATTCTACTAAACAAGATTTATATATTTGCAATAAGAGGCACCTAGAGCCCACAACTCCAAATGAATTGATCATCTGATGTACCCCGTCATGCTTTGCTTAATTTAAAACCATAATTATTGTGATGCGCCATGTCTAAAGAGGCCAGAGACTGATTCCATTTCAAGACTGTCCATTAGTTTAACAAAGGCTCTCTCATTCCCATTATGCCATTTCTACCAATGTCAATTAAAACAGATGTGTCGCAAACTGCCACTTCCAGTTCTCTAGCTCTATATTCAGCCAGAACCACCACATTCTCACAATTTGTTCCAAAGTGTTTTTCTGTGGGTTAAGACCTGAACATATAGAGGAGCTCTCCTTTATAAATACACTAATAAACTTGCTCCCCCTACTTGTACAACTTGGGATTTTGTAGTCCCATTTTTACTCCACATCGTTTCTGCTAGAGGGGTCTTACCTTTCCATCTGTGGTGGTATTGATCCTGTAGTGGTAAACACGTCCCTCATACCTGAGTGAGATGGATAGTTGCCCTGGACTGCTCTCACTTTCACGAACCAGGAAACTGCCATTGATTAAGCTGCTCAGGAGATACTCTGCTGCACTACGTGACACTGGTCCATGATACCAAGAATGCTTTTCCAGGCTGTTCACTGGTGTGATGTAGTTGCTTGGCACCCATCCCTGCCCATTCTTAGAACGTACCTCGCTCCATTCACCATTCTGGTTATAACCCAAGACTCTTAGCTTCTCACCTGCAGATGGGAGAGAAAGAAAGAGAGAAACCATCAAGATGAAATCAGGTAAGTCTTTGTAGGTAAGTCTTCACCTGTACAACTAAACCAGATAGTGCAGCTAAGGGCAGGGATTCTTCATTATAACCTATATGGTGCCACAATTTAACTGGATTTCAGTTACTAGACAAGATGTTAACCTAGCTTTTAAGGCAAAATGTTAAGGACAAGATCAGATAAGATACTATTGCCTAGTTACAGGCAGCCCATGACTTGCAACGTTTGGAGTTACAACATTTCACACTTACAAAGTTTATAAATCGACACCCTGTTTCAACTTTCTGACATTAGTTTCAACTTTACATTGCTTGATCCAATGTGACATCATGCCGGCAAACAAGTTCGCTGTGTCACCCATCTCCCTGGAGAACATCTGTCTAAACTTCATCGGACAGTTTAAGAAAGCAGACAAGACTCCAGAAAAACCTGCAGCCAAAACTTCTGAGAAGACTCCAGCTAAGAACCCTTCAAAAAGTCCAACCAACATCCCTTCACAAAGTCCAGCCAAGCCACCCCAAAGAAGCCCTTCCAAATCGATATGATTGCTATTTACAATACACATACATTAATGTAGCTATATTACTCATCTATAATTTATTGAGTACAAAATTCTGGAGTATTTTTGGTGAAAATAGGGTATCAGGCCTTGGTTCAGGAACCAATCCCCCGTTTATAATATTGTTTCTTATGAGAAAATTGGTTCCGAGTTACGTTTCAACTTAAGAGACAGTTTTCAGGAACTAATTGTGTCACAAGTCCGAGGACAGCCTGTACTCCTATTTGGATACTCAGCTAATATTTATTCCAACTCAATTGCATCACCACATATGTCAACCAATTCCAAGGTTTCCTGTGGTTCAGATTTCTGGAGATGGAAGATAATTTTTTCCTGTATGATTTGTAATACCCTCAAGATTTTAGCCTTAAAACAAAGTTTCTTAAAATGGTTGCACAGCAGGGGAGGTTTTTCTGGCATGTATTAAGATGACAGTTTCCTGTCACTACAAGTTATTTTTTGTGGCATATTTAAAGCTCTTGATTTCTCTTTGGTGGAGGCAGAAAGGTAGTGAAGTTTGTATATGGGCAATAATGCCTGACAAGAAATGTCTCTGCACACAAATGAACAGGCCTGCATGGTTCTGCCATGATAGCACCATACGACTTGTATTTTAATACTACTAGCAGTCCTACCACAGAATGCACATACTGAGAAACACATTCTTACTTTTCCAGAATAGCTTTGGCATGGTGGGTGCTAAACCAAGAGGTCTGTTATCTATTGTCTTCTGAATTTGTCTCAGAAGATCTAAACTTGCAAAACTTGGCTTGAAGCAGGTAGGGAATCAACTCCGCACTGGCAAATGTTTAGCTTGGTTATGAATGGCCAGTACCTCTGAGATTTATGCTAACTGCCCCTGAAGCAAGCCTATAATTTTACCAAACATTATCAAATAGTCTGAAGGGCATAGCTTGATGCTGGTACCAAAAAGGAGTATAAACACATTATTTGGGTCACAATATTTCTGAAGAAATCCATAAAATTTTTGACACTGCAATGACAAATCTGGGCACAGGAAATGTTTGTAGTCCAAAAACAGTAGTGTCTGTAGTTTATTGGGTTCTTATGAAGTATGGTGGGGTGCCAGATATCTGAACTAAATAAAGTAACCAATTGTTCAGCTAATGCAGCAATTCTCATCCTGGGGTGTCTTGAAATGTTTTCAAGGGTACTGTGGGGTACCAGGCGGTGGTACACTGTTAGGTATGCAAACATGACTCAAGATAAACCCAGAGATTTCAAAGAAGAATCCAGTGTTCAAGTCTGTCATTCTGGCCTGTTACAGTCTGAGTTCTTTGCAAGAAAACAATTGCTCTACAGTATTATTTCTCTACAATCGAAAAACAAGTGAATGCTAAGAGCTGGCATTGAGGAATGCCTTGAGTTTAATGAGGAGTGCCTCGACTCACAAAAGGTTGAGAGCCACTGAGCTAATGAAAAATACATATTAAAACATATAACACGACAATGCTGTACTCTAGGGGTGTCAAAGATATAGCTCATGAGCCATATCTAGCACACAGTCATGTCATCTGGTCTGCAGAGTTGGAAACATGCTCAGGGCTGCAACAATTAATGTTGCCACTGCTTGGCTCATTGCCAAATTCCTGGCCCTTCAGTCAGCCCTGTGGCTCTGTGTTCCAAATTCAGTTGACAGAACTCTGCTTTCTAGATCCAGGCCACAGGAGTCCTGTGATACTCATTTGGCACTATGGAGCCAAATGACTCTGACATGCCTTCTGTACTCTAGGGCAGTGGTTCCCAATCTGTGCCACCAGTGGTACTCAGACAACCTGTCAGTGGTACACGTTAACAGATTTACTATAATTATTTTATATGACAAAAATTTGCTGGTAGCACTTAAGGTTGTATTGTTTTATATTAGTGGTGCGCAGTATGTCAGAGTTTGTCAGAGGGCAAGTTTAGAAGCATATTTCCCTTTCTTTCAATTTGTTGATTAATGATTGATAAAACGTTCTCTCTCCATGGTGTACACTTGTACAGTATACCAAAGAAGCTGGTAACAGCTGCATTTTTGTAACTGAACTGTTCAAGTAAATGGTGTGTGAACAACTAAAATACTACTAAACTATATACAATCAGTCAGCTCTGCAGTAAATTAAAAGGCGGTCCATGTCACACAAGTCAAAGATAAAGCATGTGTTTGAAAGGCACACTTCTAACAAGTAGTTCACAGAAGACAATCATCATCTTCAGTTATGGTCACTCCTGTCATTTTCTCTGGTAGAACAATGACAAGCGATTCTACTTGGGGGTTTTTACCCCCCACCTAAATCCGTACCTTATTGCTGAAGGAAATTACCTATAATCCTGCAGAGAGAAAAGTTTGGTAAATTCCACCATTTCACCATGAAGTTCAGTTCTGTGTCTAGAGCTGCAGAATAACCACATTTTTCCTCCAAACTAGAGCTTCTTAGATCAGGTAAGTGTTATTATTTCAACACAGCTCTGAATCAAAGCCTCAAGGGGAACAAGTTTGAGCCACAGTAATATGCTGACAGGGCACAGGATGATTACCTTTGGTGATGCTGAGTGTGTTGTCACCACTTGCTACAAAATCGTAAAGTGCAACAAAGAGATTGGGATCGCTCTCAGTGGCTCCAAGCAGATTTTCCTTGGAGCTCCACCTGATGGCTTCATTCAGTGCCTGCGGTTCGACATCACAACCATAGGGGCGATGAAGGGCCTCTGGAGAAAGAATAAAAGCAGGGAATTTACTTCATTTGCAACAGTTGCAAGCTCAGTACATACAACCTCACAGCTGCTGCACTGTGAAGTCTTAAGGTCATAGGAAGAACTATGGATTTTGCCAGAATAGAAGTTTTGCAATGTCCAGGCATCAGAAAAAAAACAGCTCAGGAGACCAGAATGTTTTTTTAAACAATAATTTACAAGGCACATTTAGGACTATAGTACATTTCAGAGTAAATAGAAAAGGGTAGTTAAAAAGCAATACTGAAAATTCAAGAAAGTCACAGGTTAATGTCCAGCACCAGCCTTTTTCCTGTTCCACATATATTCCAGTAAGACAGGGGCCTGCAAAATTAATGGACATATCTACTGAGTTTAACAGCTAGACTTTAAAAGCATTTTGTTGCAGATATATTAAGATATAATCCACACCTATAAAACAGAAGATACTGAGTAGAGAGTGGAGTAAGGGCAGATCTTGGTAATGGTAGGACCCAAACCACTTAGTCAGTAAGGCCACAGACAGATATCACATTTATCCTGGGACAGACTATAGTAACCCAGACTATAGTATCCCAGGTACAACTGTTCAGATGTACACATCTGTTGTCTCAGAATAAAATCTTAAAAGGTTCATATGATAAGAAGTACTAATAGATTATCCTGGGATTACATCACTGAAGCAATAGCAAAAGAATGGCAATGCATTCAGCTGCTCACTGAACCTTGATTAGAAGGGATCTTAATTGTTCAAATTACAGTAAAATTGCCCTAATCCCAACACAACTTTTTGACACTGGGTGTGTACATGCACAGTATGTCAAATTTTTAAAAAGCATCAATGGGTTTTGGTGGCAATAGACAAAAGCTCCAGTTCTTAGAAGCATTTGTCTTTACTGAGCAAAAATAAACAGTAATTAAAGAATACATTCTTTACACTGTTATAGTGCTTTCAAGAGGCAAAGTGTATAACTACCTTAAAACAAGGTCGCACAGAAAGACCACACCACCAGTTTGACTCAAACCTCTAACTATAAAGAAGGAGGACGATCATGGAAGATTTCATCAAGCATAAATACATGTGGGCTGAAAGTTCAGATTAACCAAAGTGTAAGTCTTCCTTGTTTCAATTATGCATTTGCTTTGAAGTCAACTATATTTTAAAAAAGAATATATATATTTAAAAAAAACCCAAAAAAACCAAAACCAAAAAAACAACTTACTTTTGTACCGATTATAGATAAAAATGAGGGTTGTTTTTTTTCCATTCCATGCCAAATCATTCCACATAATGTGTAACAACTTTCTGGCTCATTTCCATCACACCTTAAACTGAATGCGTAGCTGGCTGAGGCTGGCCCATGACAGAGCCTGAAAATGAGCCAAGTATCAGGATCCAGCAGAGGGCAGACCCAGGGCCTAAATCACAGATGTCCTGGCAGCCCAATCCAAGGGTCCCCATGCACTGGGCCCTTCAAAAACTCATCTGTCACTCAGTTGAGCAACACACAGGGTTTTAACTCCATCCCAGCTAACTGGGACCTTTAAACCCATGTGCCACCCAGCTCAGTTTTAACTCAGTCAAAGCACCTGGGGACCCTCAGGATCAGGCTGTGGCAGTTTGACCCCAGGGTCTGTCTGGGACCTGTAAAACCCCTAGCTGGGGTATGACAATCCTCCGATTGTCAGCTAGGGTTCAGGACCTGACTGGGACCAGTTTCAGATCCTGGTTTGGTTACCAGCCCCAAATGCTGATCACATGATTGTTGGCACCTGGGTTTTAATTTGCTGGTGCAAAGGGATCCTGATATTATAATCCCAGGGTCCCCCTGCACTGACAAGTAAGGCAAGATAGGGATCTAACCTGCTTCCCAGTATTATGCACCCTGCTGTGCAAGTGTGGCATGGCAGGAAGCACAACTGTTGGAATCACATCTTAGATGCCATGGCACCTTAAAGTGACAATGTCAGAGGCCTATGTGTCATATCATCAATAAGGCTTCACTTAAACTACTGGTGATGCTGGGTTCAGCAGCATCTCTCTCATAGCCTGTATACACAAGCCAACAGTTGGAACTTTAACCAAAAGAAAATGTACGGACCAATGGCAGCAGTATACCCGCCAGCCGCTGCTGCTCAAGATTATGGAACCAGTAGCAGTAACACTACATTAAGCGATAAGTGGTGCTATGCTGAGTTGCCAAGACAGATTCAAAGTCGATGTGAGACCATCATGATTTCCTTTTGAATGACTAGGAGGCCGATTCATCTTTAAAGCAATATTACATACCAAAAAGCAAAACAGAAGTCAACAATCATGTTTGAAGAGTACCTGAACAATCACTACAGTACTTTTGAAGTTTTTACCAGTAATCTAAAGGCTTCAGTGGCTTAAATGCCATTGACTTTCAAGTACCCAAGTCACTCTTTATAGGGAGACTTCAGAGACTGAGACTTTTGCCTAATATCTACTAACTACACCTTACTGGACAGTAAAAGAATCTGCTATAGTAGGTTACCAATATGTAGTAAGATAGGTCAGGGCCGTCTGACTTCAGAGCATCCAAGGGCCGCACACTACTAATCGTAGGTCCTGGGCTGCACACAGCACATGCTGCAGGGGCTGTACACCATATGAGCTTCAGGGATCTGTGCCATGCAGGCCCTCAGCCCTCCCGTGCTGCATAGGCAGCAGCAGCCCCCACCCCAGCTGCCACAGGAGGAACATAATCACTTATCCTCACTGCTCCCACCTAAGCTGCCCAACTCAAGCCTTCTGGCTGGTGTTGCCATGGACAGCAAGCTCAATGGACCCCCTCCTGACATGCTGCCCTGCCCCAGAAAACCTGGTTGCAGCAGCAGGTGCAATGGAGGGAGTGGCAGCCAGGCCCACAGGCTGCAGATTAACCCTTCACAAGCTGTGGGCCATGAATTAGACAGCTCTGAGATAGGCTGTTTAAAGAAAGAAAAAAAAAAAAGGTGGATCAGCACAGATCATGGGGCTATTTTAGCCCTTTCAGAGCAGAGAATGAAGGAGGAGAAAATGAAAAGCAACTACTGGATTTTCTGTCTAGTCAAGTATACTGACTATTGACTTCATCAAGTCAGCGCTCACAGTACTGTCCCCTCCAAAGACAGACTGTAATATAAGCTACTTGTTTAAAAGCGAAGGGCTTTTCTAGTTAACTTAGTCTAAACTAAAGCTCCTTTTTAGCTGTAGTACTGTACATTTGTACATGTGCATGCAATGGGATAAACTTTTCAATTTAGAAAAACATTTCCCGCTTTACACATCAAAAACCATGATGCAATTTAGGATCAAATGAAGTGGCTGCGCCTCATCCATCCCTTTCCCTTTCCTGTTCTTTGTTCTCACAATAGAATTCAATCCCTTCCTGACACAGCCGCTTTCCCAGGCAGTCTGTTGCCAAGGGATGTTTTTCCTCTGCCTTACAGTTATTCTTCCTAGTGCAACATTTGGCAGGAAGAAAATGTATAAAGAATATACTAAACTCAACATTTCAGAATCAGATCAAACACTAACTTTTTCTTCTTTGAAATACAAGCAATTTAAACTACTCGTGTATCTGAAACATTCAAATGATCCTCCAAGCTAGACAAAAGCAGAAGTCCTCAGACCTGCTGAAGACAGTCTTAAGAGGACAAACACTAGTTTCAAGCCCTTCATTCAGTGTACACAGGGCAAGGTGTTGGACAATACAACACAGCATTCCTGTACACCATACCTGTGAAGTCTGATATGCCAGATTCAGAGGCTTCATTGCCAAGGCAGCAGAGCAGCCTGCTCTCTTCTTTACCGTAACTGTTGGACTGTAGGAGAACTGTCCCCAGGATCATGCTGTGCTCAACAGCAAGCAAAAGAAACTGCTAATCGCAAGAAATCCTAAAATATCACTTGCAACAAGCCACACCACGGGCGTATGGCTATTACTCACAAGACTGGGAGCCAATGGGAACAAGAGCACTTCAGGAGTGGGTAGGGGGTAGGGGAGTGACAGAGAAAAAATACTTTGTGTTTAACTTAATTATTGCCTGAAAGTGTAGTAAGGGTGGAGCTTCCTACACAACTATGCACAAACAAAGGAAGTGGAGAACAAGCTGCATGTTGACACATTTCTGGGATCAGCAATAAATCACTCAGTTTTATTCCATTAGGATTAGGAAACTAAACCTGGATGAAAGCAAAACACTTTCCTTGGAGAACACATTTTACAAATTTTCCAATGCATCATCAATAAAAGACCACACAATATGATTCATTTTCCACCCCACATACAACTACTCCTGCACTAGTGAATTCACAGTGAAATAACTTATAAATCTAATACTAAAGGTTTAACATGTACCTTAACCAGGAGAGCAAATACAAATGCTAGAAAACCACATATACTTTTTTCACCAAATTGCTTTTAGAAACAAATATATAGAGAGCCTATCAAGCCTATATTTGAGCCGCGAATTTGCCGATTTATGAAGATCTAAGCACGGTCACTAATATTTCAAAAGGAACACTGTCAAAATGAGTATTTAAAAAAGAAAAACCTGTTTGACAAAGCTGCTTAAAAAGAAGTTCTAAATGTCTGGGTTTTTTTTGTTGTTGTTGGGTTTTTGTTTGTTTGTTTGTTTTGTTTTTTACAAGAGTTTGTCTGATCCCTTATTAATATTTACATGGATTTTTAGAGGAGGAAAAAAAGCAGCCAGGGAATGAAGTTAAAAGCAACTATACTTTGTTGTTTCCTCAGGTTTCTAAGGAAGATTTTAAAAAGTTTTGAAAAATACGTGCCTCCTCCCAGGGAAAATGAAACCAGCTGTGCCCTGGCTGCATCTCAGCCACATGCTACTGGAGGTCTATTCTTTTATTCATTTACTAACACACACACACACACACACACACACACACACACACACACACACACACACACACACACACACTGCATCCCCTTCTCAGTCCCTTTAAAATCTGTGTCCCTCAGCATGGGCCACCCTGGTGTATATCTTCATAACATAGCATTTCCTTTCTATTCTTGTACTTTTGTAAGTAGTACTGAAATCTGAAGTATATCAATCGGTACAAACTGAAATGAACTAGATAGTTCACAGTTCAGAATTTTAAAGAACCAAGCCTGAAAAAAGCTTGAAACAATGTCAGTAATGCCCACATTATATCTGAAATGTTTTATTCACAGCTATGTTAAAATATAGATCAGCATCTTTCTGTTATAAAGTTGAAAGCCCATCCTCCAGATCCCTTCAGATGCCTGTTCTCCAAACTATATGAAATGATACCAAAATACAAAAATAAAAACTAATCTCTCCCAAAACACACACTTCTTTCCATCTCTCATGTGCAGATGAAGTGGCATGGACTTGACCAGTCCAGAGGTTTCAACTCCAGCTCATCACAGTCGTATCTGAATGCACATATCAAAATAGGGCTCTTGCACCTACTTCCTATAAGCATAAACAGATTATAATCTCTAGATATTAATTCTCACACACTCAAAACCCATGTGGCACAAATACAGCATTCTATTATCTTTTTATCACATTGTTCCCTTGTAACTATGGCCTTGTCTTCTAACATCCCTATCATGTCAATCTCTCTACTCTCTCTCTGCTATTAAATAAACATTAACAAATGAAGTGGATCAGCTCTGGCAGGACTCATCTTGCCACAGCTGATCCACTTCACTGGGTGAAACATCACTCATTGTTTCATGTCAGGCAGGGGCCCAAACCTGAGGGACAACAGGCAGTGCATTGCCTCCTTACAGAAATATGCCTCAGGTTTCCCAGGGCACATCTTTACAAGCAGGGAAAACCAGGATGGCACTCTTCAGAATTGAGGAGCCTGATTGTGAGCAAAAATTCCCAGGGGGCACAGGATCAGGCACCACAAGCCCCAGGAGCGATTACCTGGGGGAGATGGCAAGCACAGGCAGCTCTGGGCTGCCCAAGCTCTTGCGCCATAAAGCAAAGCGACATCTGCCACAAAGTGGAAGAAACCATTACCACTGTCATCTCAGCCACAAATTTTGGGCATCTGTGGCACAAGGGGCATAGACATCTGTTTATTTGGCCTGTCTCACCAAAAACATTTTTAAAGGTAGCACAAAGGAAATGTTTCTGCCAACTGACACATATATCCCTTTCTCTATTTTATTTGCACTTTCACTTTGGATAAGGATGCATTAGTGTTTATTTACAAAATTAATTCAAACTTGTAGTGTGATCCAATTTCACAACTTTTTTCAGAGAATCAAAAATCATGATTTTCTAAGTACATTCTTATAAGAGCACCTTTGACTTTACTTGAATTGTCATCACAGTGAATAAATATACAGAGGAGAGAACAGTCATGTCCATTTTTCAATTATGCTGTTTACAAAGGATAGATTAACTCTTTCTCCAAATATTTAATCCAGAAGTTAAATTCCATATCATAGTATTTATAATTCAAGGTAAAAATTAAGGGTATGCACACACACACCCTACCTCATATTGGTTACAAATGGTCTGGAACTTTTCTCCAATGCATAAAAATGTACATGACTTTTTAAAACTGAACTGCCTGAAAATTATCAGACTAGGTATCAATTAAAACTTGAGCACAGAAACTATGATTTACAGACATTAAAGAAAGCCAAAGCAAAATGCACTTTACCAAAAGTAAAGTTGGGACCAGAACTAAGCAACAGGTACGCACCTCTTGCTGCCCCAGCAGAGCCTGCTGAGTTGCCGGCCCCCACAGGCAACATGGTCCCAACTGCAGCTACCGCCCCTGCTCTCCCCAAGACAAAACGTAAGGTGTTTGTTGTGGGAGACTCCCTCCTGAGGGGGACTGAGGGGCCAATCTGCCACCCCAACCCCTTAGCCCGGCAAGTCTGCTGCTTCCCGGGGGCCCGCATCAGGGACATTACGGAGAGGATCCCAAAGCTCCTTAAACCCACAGACCACTATCCCATGCTCCTTATTCATGTGGGCACCAATGACACTGCTCGGAGCACTCCCAGCCAGGTCATGAGGCGCTACAGGGATTTGGGAGCGGGGCTTAAGGGTCTGGGGGCACAGGTAGTGTTCTCGTCGATCCTCCCAGTCTCAGGCTATGGGCTGAGAAGGGACAGGAGGATCTATGTGGTCAACCAAAGACTGCAGCGCTGGTGTCGTCAGGAAGGCTTTGGCTTTCATGACCACAGCCCGCTCTTTGGCGAGAGAGGCAGCGAGCTGCTGGGAAGAGATGGCCTCCACCTCTCTCCCCTAGGGAGGAGGCTCTTCTCAGCCAGACTGGCTGACCTGCTCCACCAGGCTTTAAACTAAGCCCGTTGGGGCACGGGGGGACTACCACCATTGCTGGCCCGCTGAGCAATCCTTGCAAAGCCAGCAGATCACGGCGCTTCAGGGAGCCCACCCCTGCCCCAGCCCTGGTAAAATCTGTGTGCAAGGAAGGAGCCCCCCAGGGGCCACTTGCCTGCCTGTACACTAATGCCAGGAGCTTGGGGAATAAGCAGGAGGAGCTCATCCTCATGCTCAGTGCAAACAATTACGATGTCATAGGGATAACGGAGACCTGGTGGGACTCCACCCATGACTGGACCACGGGGATAGATGGCTATACCCTGTACAGGAGGGATCGTAAAGAGTAAAGGGGTGGGGGTGTGGCTCTCTATGTTAAAGAAAGCTACACGTCCCTGCAAGCCAATATTGGCGACCAGGGTGGA